CACTTTGTGTGTGTTTCGCAAAAACCTGAACGGGGAATGTGGAAGGGGACATTTGTGTTTTTGGAAAAAGTGTAATTTTCAATTAAAAGTAAACTGACAAACGGCAAACAAATTGGCGCCCTCTTCAAAACTATTTGCACGGGGCAAACAGCATCATAAGTATCTATGTATCCACAAGATACATTAAGCAAACTAAAGGAAAAACGCTACAAAGAGTGGAGGCAGCCAGGCAGAGTGAAGTGGAGTGAAGAAATCTCGACTGCCGCAAGCCCAAGCGCAAATAAAGCGGAAATTTTTGAATCGCGCAGTTCAAGCGTAAATTGCAACAGCTGTCAAGTAGGAGAGTGCGCGTGGTAGTATCTGAGTATCTGCTAGATACATTTCGCAGCGCAATGGCAAACTAGCTGATAAACAGCCTATTAAAACTGTTTACACGACCAATGCAAATATTGACAGAATGATGCAGGGCTTCTCTTTACCGCTCTACCACTCTCCACCTCACCCTTCCACCACGAATCTATCTTTATAGAGGGTTGATTTATCCATGAGATACACGTACCTTTCCAATGCTGGAAACGCGGCAATTTGTTGTCGCTTGTCAAATGATCAGCGCCGCACACACACACACACACCCATAGATATAAACACACACAAATACGTGATGCTAAATCAAATGCAATTCCGCCATTTTGTTTCGACTGGTACGCCTTCAAATGTGCAATCACAGACCCCGACCCAGACCCCACACATTTTCTATACTATAAATAAATTCCCCATTTACTGGTAGGTAATGCGCCGACAGTCTGGGCTACAGCCCTCCTCTATCTCTGGCTGGCATTGTGCACTATAATTTACATATCATCGACCTCTGTTGCTGTCTGACTGACTGACTTTTGCATGTTGGTAATCTCTTTTTAAATGATTTCCAGGGTGCAAACTCTGATTGTTGCAAGTGGAGCATTTTTCGCTGAAAGCTCTTTTCCAGGTCAAAGCAATGAAAGAAGAAAATTGGATTGAAATAATCGAGCACTAATAAATTGAGTCAAAGAAAGGAGCAAGGTTAGAGCTATCAGATAAATGTATACAAGATGCACTCAGTCAGAAATCTTGATGGCAATAATCGAACTAAAGGAGACTTCTGGGTTGATCTCTTCCTGCCTTCTAATTTAATCTGTTTTGTTCTCAGTACATTTTTCAGTTATATTTTATTATCAGATGCTTTGAATATGCCCTCAATAATTTATTCCTATATTGTCCATTTTTGGTAGATCTCTTTGCTAACTGATCGCATTTTACTCTTGTTCATCTGTAGTTCAGCCCGTGAGCACCTTTTTTCAATCATTTATGGAACTCTGCTGTATCTCTGATCATGGCATGGTTCAACCCTATTTATTGAGAAACAAGTTCAATGCAGTTAAACAGCTAGTACAAGTATTCCCATTCTGCACACTGGAGATCTACGCAACAGACTTGACCCCCTGAGGAATCGCAAGCCATGCAACGTCATTTGTGTAACCCTTTTCTGTCCACCATCGAATGTGGGCAAAAATGTGACCCACTGTGCACAGTCGACGGCAAGTTCCGCACTTTTTTCCCTACTCCAAACTAACAATTTTCGCCACAGGAAAGAGAGTGGAATCCAAAGAGCAAAGAAAAACCCCTAACGAGGTCCAAAGTTATTTATAGAGCTGCACAGAGGAAGTGGCAAATAATGCAAATATCTAAGCATGCAAGTGGCTCGGGGAAACGCCTCGACAAACTTTGACTTCAGAGCGATATTAAGCATGCGCCATGTGGTACAGCCAAAAGAGGGAATACAACAAAAAAAGAACAAAGAAGCGAACCAAACAGAATGAAAGCAGCTGCAAAAGGAGCGCAGACAAAAGCGCACAAGGATAGGACTACCAGAATGATGACGATGATGGAATAACTGCAATTAGGAATAATAAACAAAAAGTTACAGCCATCGAAACAGAGAGGGTGAGGTCCTGAACGGTGTGTTTGGTGGGGGGTTACATTAAAACTACATAAACGCAGACTTAATTGCGGGTTTTTCAAACGAACGAACCCTGGGCTTCCCGGGCTCTGTTGCGAGTTCTTTTTTTGCGCACTTGAATCGCAGTCCTCTATATAGGGGTTAGTTCTGGATCAGCAGTTGCTACAAAAAATGGCTACACATGGCAGCCTCTAACAGCCTCTGCCTTTTGCTACCCCCCTTATCAAGCGCACCCAAAAGCGAACAAAAAATAGAGCAACCATCCCAACAGCAAAATGGTTGTCGTCTATGTTTTTTTTTGCCATAACTGAAAGTCAGCGCAGGGGAGTGAGGCTGCCATTTAGCTGCAGCCCAGCAATAGCCAACAAATCCCTAGAATTTGTATCTAATAAACTTCCATATGCAAGCAGCGAACCATCCATTCATCCATTCATTCTTTAGCTGGTTTATTAGGCCTGAAATGTTTGATTGAGTTCAAACCAGACATATGAGGGTGCCCAGAGCTATGGCTCTGCTCTCTTTATTGCATGATTTTCGGTGGTTGTTCTGTGTGTCTGCCACTGTTGCACTTACAAGTTGATTATGTTGATTTTTTAACCATTCTTTTTTTTCCAGCCGACTGACTGGCGGACTGTTCAAGTGCTGCCCAACGCGTTGAGTGATTCGTTTGAGACTTAGGGCGGAAGGGGGTTCATTTTATTATTAAATATTGATATGATATAAAGTCAGAGATATGTAAGAGATACATCAGATAAGCTGGCTTAATTAAGAAACGTTTCGGGCTGCTAAGGCAACCATTTTCGATAGAAGATATATTTTTTCAAATCCCTTTTTTATGGTTCGATTTTATAGTGTAGCAGATGCTGCCACTTCACGTCTCTTTGTGTTGAGAAAGAAAGGGAATTATCATTTTTTCGGACTGTTCTTTTACGTTAATTCTTTCAGAATTTAAATCGGTGCTTAAGAGTACTGAAACATTTTTACAACCTTAGAAACTTTCTTCAGCTATAAGTGGAAACCAATTCCTGAACTTAAGTACATTTTTGCACTACCCAAGTTGTACCTAAAGATATTTAAATTGTGTCAAAATCATGAATAAAGTCTGCTAGTTATATTTACCGCAATCTTAGGCTTATAAATAATTTCCACACATTTTATTTAGCATCCACAGCCATGCGTATCCTCACTCGATAACCCCCAAACGGAACCAAAATAAAAAATAAAATACAAATAAAGAAGGGAACTAATAATAAACAGCAGTGAAGAGCGCTTCAAGTGACAACAAAAGGCAAATATTTACATTAACCAATGTAGATTAAGCAGGAGAGTGGAGAGCATGGCGAAAGCGAAGGACTCTCCACCGCAGGACCACCACAACGGACCAAAGAACGCAATTCCTCAGAGGGCACACCGCTAAGTCTTTTATGAAAATATATGCAAGTTGGCAGCGCGACTCAAGCACTTTAGTGGGCTGCTGCAGGACTCCAGACTCCGGCTTCTGCTACGCTTCCGCGTACAGCAGGATATAGCGAGGGCAGCGGAACTGCCGCAAAGAGCTCTGTGCAAATAAACAATTAAAATGTCACAATGATTGCCGGCTTACCCGTGTCAGGAAATCAAAAAACCAAAAACGGGGGAAAAAAACCACAAAATAGAAGGAAGAAATTTGTAAACGCTTTTGTGGTACATACCCCAACCACGGTGTGGAATGCTCCTCAAACCCTTGAAGGACTTCTGCATATTGTGTGTTGATTCAAAAGCGCATTTTACAGGAGCGGAGGGAGAGAGGGAAGCAGCGCAACCACGTGGCTCCGGCTGTAAGACTGAAGCAAGATTTTACCCCCCAGCCAGGACCAGACGACTGTGGACGGTGCTCACTCAGGCGTAGAGACCACAAAGGCGAGGGCGAGAGCAACTGCGAGTGCGAGTGCGAGTCCTGTCAAGGCGTTGGGCCTCTAACCAGCCACAGCGCCAGAAATCCCAATTAAAAATAAAGAAAGGCAAAACGAAAGTTAAACAGGCCAAAAACCTCATGTTAAGTCAAGTGAAGCTTCCCGAGGTTCCCATCCTTTCGGGGGAGAATCCTTCCATCCTGCTGGGCGTCTGTGACATTAACAATTGATAGACGACAGACGACAGACGACACCCGCCAACAGGCGACAACAACTGAACATTTGACAGATTGTCGCTCTCCGTTGGCAGCTTCTAAGGACACTTTCCATTTCATTTCACACACAGTCAGACACACACACACACACGTCTGATCCTTAGTGAAGTTGCCTCCGGGGCACCCAACTCGAGTGGCTCCGTTTTTTCGGGCTGCTGGTGTCCGTCTGCGCCACTGGGGCAAGTGGCAAGCAAGCCAAGCAGTCGAGTGGCTGGCTTAGCCGCTAGTTGGCATTTAACAGTCGCTGGCTTAAATAATTCAGTTCTGTGGGTTTCTGGGCAAAGTTTCCCCGGGGGACTAGTGCCTTTCTCGGTTAGAGGCGTCTGAAGGGAGAGACAATTGCCTAACAATGAAAATGTATTGGGTAAGGTTGGACCAACTAGTCTTGGGCTTACTTTGTTTTGTAACGATTCAAGTCGGACTCGAGTTCTCTAAGCTGTTAATATTTGGTATTTTGGGTACAAGTGGAAGAGATATAAATATTTTAAAATTATGATAAGCTGTTTAAACGTTTACTAAGTGGAATTAGTCTTTTGGAAGAACCATAAGCTATCATCCATATTATAGCAACCATGGCAATAATTGATAGCTTTTTCAGAGACTATTAAAATATTAGCATATCCCTAAATAAATATTATATCTGTCTCATAGACAAACACGTTTAGAACTTGTTATAAATCTACTTCAATTCCATTTGGATTATAAAAACAAAAGTTGCCAAAACGTTTCATAATTTCCGTAAATATAAAAATCAATTTCAATATTGGAAAATCTAACAAAACACAAACAACAATTAAAACACAAAGATGAAAGGAGTGTAAATATATTCAGACTTACCTCAAAACAAGGATGAATTTTGCCAATCACCGTGAGGGAAGATGTTCGTTTTATTTGGCAGAAATATGCTGATGCTCCTCGAAATGTTTGCACGTAGCAATTAATATCCCTTTTTTGATGTCTTGTGAGCTTGTGTTAATATTTAAATGGAATCTGAAATTTCTTGAGCACTTCAAAGAGTCTGTTTTGGGGGCAAAGTTGCCGATGATTTTGCCGCTGCTGCCACTAATCGGCTGCAGGTCAGATTCTTGTTTGTTTTAGGGATTATCTCCCACACTCGAACACACTGTGCCGCGCACACACTGAGACGCTCCTCACACTACCCCGCTCTCATTCACGGAGCGAGTCCTTGAAGGAGCTTTGGTGCTGGTGCTGCAGCCGGGACGAGAATATACTTTTGCGACCGCGCGTTCAAGACGTCAATTTCGTAATGCAAATATTTGATTTATGAATTCAAAGTAAATTAAGGCGAAAACAAAAAGCAACAGCAACAACAGACAGCCAGAGAGTGTCGTAGGAGACGGCAGGATGTATGGCAACGACGACGACGACGACGACGAGTCCTGTGCCCCGCGTGCCAGAGTCAAATATGGCGACGCTAAGCACGGTAAACGGCAAAGCGACAAACAGCAAACGGCCAACGGTAATTTTATCCAACAAGAGCGCGCCTGCTCTCTGTCCTCGCTCCGGCTCTGGCTCTGGCTCTATCTCTGTCTCGCTCGCCCACTGTGTCCTCCTGCCTGCCGACGGCAAAGTCAAAGCAATAAAAAGCACATAACGCGATTTGATGCGCGCGCTCTCTCTCTCTGTCGCTCTCCCGCCATCAAACTAACTGCCGTTATGTGTCAGGCGACGGACGAGCTGCCTGCTCTGAGCACACGAAACATCATTATCATTTGATCCCCTCCCCTATCTGTTCCTGTCCCATTCGCACCCATAGCTTACGGATTTTTTGGTGGTGTCAAATGTGTGTGAGAGGGAGGGAAAGTGTGTGTGTGTGTGTATGTGCGCGACATTAACGCCATCATGCTCATCATCATCATCATCAGCCAAGCGGGGCTCGGTGCCTAGATGGCAGCTGTCGTCGTTGTTCATAGTAAGGGTATTCCTGAAAGTTGTGAGGTGTGATAGTAAGTCTAATTCATATTCTTTTCATAGGAATTTTGATTCGTGGTGTCAGAAAAGATGATTTTTAATGTTTTTTTGGTTTGTATCTGAACATAATCTTTGAAACACAAGACCTTGGGATCTTGTGATCCTTATATCCAATGGGTTTCCTGTGCATTCACAGATGCTCATCACCAACATTCCCATATCTCAAACCAATCCGCATCTCTTTTAACGGAATACCATTAATGCTGACTGTCCTTTTACTAAGCATTTGCCCCTACATAACCTCATCTCCTCCATCGCCCCGGGAGTCATCACCCATGCCCTGGCCTTCCCTCCCCTTCCTTCCCCACCCGCTGAAGAGCAGAGTACATATTTGTACTGCAATTTGGCTGCGTCGCGTCGCCCCCTGCTCAGCGTTCTGCCTGCGTTCTGCCGTGTGCTCCTGTGATTTGCCTCTTTTTGCGCTCTCATTTGCACAGGTGAGTATTTTCCTACTTTTTTTTCCAGTATTTTTCTGGTTTCATTTCGGTTTTTCTTTTTTTGGGTGCCCCCGACGGTCTATGTACGCTCGCTCCGTCTCGCTCTCCCGCTGGGCCATTATCGGAGCAGAAATGCTCTATGGAATCGCATTTTTGTGTAGTTTTCATCGACGGGACGGGATCCTGAGAACTACGCAATGAAATTTTCCTTCTTCCTGGATTCCATGACAACCAAAACACACATATGAGATGGATGGATATGGATGGATGGATAGATGGTCTTTGTTATTTTGTAATGGAGAAGCTGTGGGAAAGAGAGGGAAGACGTAGGGAGAGAGCATTAAAACAGAGGGGTGGTAGCGAGAGAGAGAGCGGGGAGCATGTGTGGCAAAAAGGTGAAACGATTGAGCACCCTGGGAGATTTTTTAATCAAATAATTACTGTAATTAGATGCAAGGCAAAATGTCAAAAAGGAATTGCACACACAAAATTCCCAGGCGCTAAGGGAAGCCAGGACCTACGCGCTGAGAATTTACAATTCAGCAAAGGGAATACGAGTACTCGATGTGGAACAATCAAAATAATGTTTTATGTTCATTTTGTAAGAGTTGGCTGTACAAAAAGCAGTAGCAAAAACATATTATATGTTTCAAAGGTAGAGAAATAATGTTCTCAAAATTCGGATACTTATTAAACAGAATCTGTAATAAACTTAAGCAAAATCGAGAAGAGCTTTTCAAATATACCAATTAATAATGGGATCAATTGCAAGATTTAAATACGATTTCGTGGCATTTTTCAGTCAGTGTCTGTTTTTTCTACAAATTATATTAATCTCGTAAAATATAAACAAATTAAACTACAGATACAAAAATTGTGTTAAAAAGTTATATGAATAAGAACAAAATATGTTTAAAAGTAAAAGAATCACAAACTAACCCGAAAGTTTTTTTTGCTTCTGTTAGATCCATTACAAAAATCAATATCTTCATGTGTACGATACTGTTGAACTCATAACTTCATCAGCATTTAACAAATCCTTTAAAAATCCTAAATTTCAAACCCTGACAATTTTTTTCTTCCATTTGCTGAGGCTCAAAACTTTTAAGATTTCCTCAGTCAGAGGATTCCATTTAATAATGACAACTTTTGCCAGAGATTTTCCATAAAAACAGCTCAAGAAATCAACTTTTTGCATTTTGCACACCTCAAGTGTCTGCAACAATAAGGCAGTGAGCAAACTGGAGAGAGAGAGAGGGAGAGGAAGAGAACAGGTAAACTTAGGTGCGGGAGAGGTGTGGTAAAGTGTGGCAAGGGGTTTTACTGAAAGACTGGAGGCGGTCGAAGGAGAGAAGGAGGTAAGGCAAGGCATTCATTACAGCAATTGAAATGGACAAAAGCCAAAAATTCCAGGCAGGCAAAAAAGACGATGATGACGATGACAACGGATTGTGCAAGCAGTAGAAAGTTGAAAAAGGTATAATAAAATGTTTGCATATAAAATATGAAATAAAAGACGCAATGAAGGAGTGTACAGCACTGGAGGGATACAGATACAGTGCAGAGAGGAGTGCATGGGTTGGGGTGTCTCTCGCTCTCTCTCTACATAGAACGCAACGAAATGAGCGAGCAGCAACAACAAAATGACGGCCGGCCAGGTGAGTGCCAGGTGAGGCTGGGGCCCAAGCACAGGCCCAGGATCCAAGGCAAAATGCTCAACGGATAAGTAAATAAAAGTGAAGAACCCCAACCACCAGCAGCTGTAACTATGTAAATGCCACTGTGTGTGCCAGGAACTTCATGATGAGCAAACGAGTGCCGTTAGTGGGCGTATCAGACAAGCTGGGGAAATGCGTCTGCGCTGCTCTAGCAGCCATATTTTGCGGGTGGGTGTGGCCACACACATACACTGAACCGGTTCGACCGGTGCCGCATGTGACTTGATTAGCCCCGACATTTTGTAACTGTTACTCGCGCGCTCTCTCTCTCTCTCCGTCTCTCTTTGGCCGCTCTCTCTTGCGCCCAAAAACGCAACAGGCAAACCACCCGCACAGCTGGCCGACTCGCTCGCACTTGTAGAGTTGCAATGGCGAGGGGAAAAGTACCGTAATGTATTGGAATTTACATACCCCACTCGAAAATTGAACTTTACATTTGAGACGGCAGCCATAAACCGGCCTTTACTTTCGTTTTCGCAGCAAAAACAACAATTAGCAACAATTTGTGTTAATCTACGTAAACGCCTTTGTGACAGTTGTAAATTCTGTGCAAATTTCTGTGTGGACTGTCAAATTAATTCCTCATGGCCACCACCTCAACACTCACTTGGAAAAGCGCACAGTTTCCAAGTGTTTCATTAATTTCGCACCACTGCACTGCAATTGTTTGTGGATTTTATATGTTTTTGGTGGTGTGGCACACGCGCTTCCTTTATCTGTCTCTCTGCCTGTCCGCCTCTGCCTCTGCTCTGCTGTCAAAAGTTTCACAAAGGCCTCCTCAAAGATAACCTTATGGAAAAAAAGGTTGCCAAAAAATGTAATGAAATTGTACGCTATTTATTTGTGTTCCCTCGCCCGTTATGAATTAAGTGTCCTCCTGCAACCACACACACACACACACACACACACACACACACAATGCAGCACAGTGTGTATTTTGTTCGCTTTTGTAGTTGCAAATCTCTTTGTGTGGGGTTCGCTTTTGAGGGAAAATGCAACCTAAAAATAACCAAAAAATATAAACAAAAGAGAGTTGGGGATAGTGAAGAGAGGTGTCCCTGCTGTCTCTTTTCTTTTAAACTTAAAACTACATGAAAATAATCCCATTTGCTTTGCTAAATTCAAATCTAATGATGGCGCGAAAGATGTCCAGCTATGAAGAAGAAGCATGCCAATCAGAGCATGACGTTTCTGTGTCCTGCGGTCACACTAAGCTGATATATTTGAAATATTTGGCAATCGCTCATCTCTATTTTGAATAGTGGGCCTGGAAATTGTTACAATTTCTGCATTAAACTTTTAAAAATTGTTATTCCCATTGATAGATTCGCTAGTACAAATAACTCCAACCGGGAGAACAATTATTTCACTTAACCAAAAGTTATTATTAAAGCTGAACAATGGACCATGACAGGCGGCGCAGGCCATCGAACCACATCACAAGCTTCTGGCTAATGACTTTGATCCTGGGCACTGTGCTCTGCCACTTTGGTTATTTGCACATTGAAAGATGGGAACTTAATACCAAGGAAGTGCTCGAAGGTGGACAGTTGTGGCGATGTATCACCGCCCTCTTTGTGTACCCCATCAGCAGAGTATACAATACGCAACAATTTCTGGTCTGCCTTGTCCTCATGCATCATTACGGCGGCAAGCTGGAGCGATATTGCTACAGGCGCGGCCCAGCCGAATATTTGTACTTGGTGATCATCACAGCCATACTGTCGAATGTCGCCGGACTGCTGTTCAAGGACAAGTACCTAATGGACATAATGCAGGTGTCCCTTACCTTTAGCTGGAAACTTGTGAGACAGAAATCAAATTTGAGGCATTGGATTTATATTCTACTGTAAGTGGAGGATAATCCTTACAAACTCGGATACACTTTATAATTTAAAATCCTTTTTGAAGCTCCCGAGAATTTTTAATTGCCTTTATCATTTCGAAAGTCTACCATTTCCTCAAATTTCAATACCCTGTAGAGATTGGAGGGATGCAATTGTTGAAAACACCTAAAATTCTGTAAGTTTTCAGCCTTTCTTAAGTCTTTTCTCTATCATATTTTGTGCTATCAGGAAACGCCTGCTCCCCGACAGGGCCAGACAGACAGGCTTTAGTGAATTTGGCTTCCCACCGGGTATTCAATCACCGTTTCCCCATCGCCGCTACCGTCGTCCCATCAATGATTTGGTGTACTTATTACTTGTCATGTACATTGTAGCTTCACTTGAGTTATTAAAGTTGGCTTTGAAAGAGTACTTTGTGCGCGCCAAATATTGGAATTTTTGTTCCACACGGTCATACTACATTATCGCGAAATTTGACATTCTCTACAAATAAATGGTTATATATTATCGGCGTTTACGACTGCAGCTGCTTTTTACAAAATTCAAGCTTATGCTTAAACGAAACAAGTCAACAATTATGTTTATTCGGAAATATCTAAATGTTTTTCCCGATGCATATTTGCCATTCACTCGCAAAAGATAAATATATCGGGTCTAACCGGGTTACGTTTTCCTTGGTATATTTGCGGTATATATAGAATATGCTATGTAACGTTTTTTGTATATTTTTGTGTGTCGGCGGTAAATCTTATCTTTTTCAAATTATTCAATGTTATCAGTTAACATATGTACATGTGTCTCTGTTAATAATTTACATACATTTACATACTAAAGACAAAGCTTCCAGAGGGGGTGACTTGAATCAAAAATTCAAATACATATTTGTAAAATATAAGGTCATAAGGTATACAAACCAATAACAATTAATATTTAAAATACGCCAAATTGATTCTTCAATCGGATTAAATTATTGTTTCAATGGTGAAAATCTTTGCAAGCTAGTAATATCAAATAGAACATCAAAATCGTGGAATCTGATTTAAGACTACGGTATATTATTTACTGTATATTTTGAAGAAGCAATGCTATATTTTGGTATATGTACGGTATATTTTGAAGATGCAGTGGTATATTTGAACGAATATATCGCGGTCACACTGACCTAAAGACACGTAAAGACACACCAAATTTCACAAAATTCTTAAAATATATGCATTTTCATATAAAAAACATTATTAAAATCAACTAATATCAAAAGTACATGACAATGGACGCTGGCCAATGGTACCGGTCGCTGCCTCGCTTCACCCGCTACTGGCTGACGGCGACGGTGGTGCTCAGCCTGCTCTGCCGCTTCGACCTGCTCTCCATCTCGGCTCTGCATCTGGACCGATCAAAGATCTTTGGCAGCCTGCAGCTGTGGCGATGCGTCACCTCGCTTTTTGTGTTCCCCATCACACCGAACACGGCCTTCCACTTCCTCATCAACTGCTACTTCATTGTGCAGTACAGCACCAGGCTGGAAAAGGATCAGTACTCGCGCAGTCCCTCCGACTACCTGTACCTGCTCATCGTGACAGCGGTGCTGGCCAACGTCGGAGGACTGCTGTTTAAGGTCCACTTCCTCATGGACATGATGGTGATGGCGGTCACCTACATCTGGTGTCAGCTAAACAAAGATGTGACAGTCAGCTTCTGGTTCGGCAGTCGCTTCAAGGCCATCTACTTGCCCTGGGTGCTGGCTGCATTTGAGTTTATATTCAAGTTGTAAGTGCACAGCACCTTTATCTGCAGTCTTGGCATTCTGTAACCCATTTATTTGCTTATCTTTGCAGCTCTCTGGCCTCGCTGTTGGGCATTTTCAATGGCCATGTTTACTTTTTCCTCAAATTCCAATATTCCCAAGAGCTGGGCGGCAATGCGTTACTCGAGACGCCACAGTTCCTGTAAGTAATAGCAGGATAGACCATATATTTCTCATTAATTTTTGTTTGTTTCTTGCAGCAAACGCCTGGTACCTGACACTTCTGGTGGTTTTGGTGGCTTTGGCGTACCGCCGGAGAGCAGAGCGCCTCCACGTGCACCCGAAAATCCCTGGGGCCGAGGCATGACCCTGGGTCACGACTAGGCACACACACACACCATATATGGATCCCATTTTTGGTTAGAATTTTTGTAACAAAAACCTGATCGTGTTTCAACCAACGCTCGATTCTACGGCCGCAACAGCAGCAACAAGTAAAAATATTGTTAAGTGGGGAGGATTATTAATTGTGCATAAAAAATGAAATTAAATACATAGATATATTCCATTTAAATATATCTATCCATTAAAAACAAGAAATTAAAAGCAACTGTCGTTTTGTTACATTTAAATTTATTTCGGTTTAAAATTTCTATGCTAAAAATTGTACAGCGACACGCAATTGTTCAACAATATATTTTTTTGTTTTGTTTTTCTTTTTATTATAATATTAATATTCTTAACTCTAAACTCTGTTTGCTCTGTTCGGGTGGAGGGAGAGAAGAGTTGTTTGTTTTTGTTGTTCTTAATTGTAATATTTTTTCTCTTTTTTTTAAGGGGCTTTATCTCCATTTTTCGTTTTGGTCTAAAAGTTACAACATTTTCTTATGACAAAAATCGACCCATAAAATATAAATTTATAGCTAGCATTTGTATTTGTTGTTGTTTTCAAAAAGCTGCTTCCCAACCACTTCTAAATGGAACTACGGGTCGCGGGGGCAGGGAGTCTCTATACACATGTATATATTTAAATTTAGTATGCATTATACAGGGGCGGGGTAATTTTTGCATTTCCAAATTCTGATAATGATATTTTCACAATTATTTACATTTCTTGGTAGGGTCAGGGGGATCGTCGCGTGGTTTAAGGCTCTATAATCTCATATTAAGTTAATAATTATTTTCTTTCAAGTTCTATTTTTTGAACATTCAAACAAATTTCTACCTTTCAATTCTTAATTGCTGCTGCTGTTGTGGGTAACTTTTTGCGTGTAATTTCGATCATAAACTTAGACAACTAAACTAAAATGATGGTAAAGATGTTGTAGCTGGGCGCTGGGTTGATGAATGAATGAATCGTAGACTCTATATACAATCTATACAAAATACAAGTTAAGGTTCTGTTCTCCGCAAAGAGTAGGAAAGTACCCATCAACAAGGGGATTAGGCGTCAATGGCAATGGGCCCTATGTACAGTAGAGAGAGAGAGAGAGAGGGAGAAAGGGTGGCAGAGGTTTAAAATATATTTATAAGCGAGAAAAGATAAACCTTTAACTATATTAATGTTTAGAACGAATGGGTTTTTAAGGGGGGGTGTTTATCTAAAAATGATTTTGGCCATTAAAAACTTGCTTTGTTTTCTTCATATTTTTGCTTTCCGTTTCCAAGTTAAGAAAATTGCGTATAAGTTAATCTTGCACTTTGCCCCAAAAGACACGAGATAGTCCGAGAGACACATCTCGACATTGAGACTAAGGACTGAATATAAACTAAACCTAATTCAAACCGATTCCGACCGCTGCTGTGCGTTCTCTACAACTCCGTTTAACAATGATTTAACAGGCAGAGGCCTTACTCTACAGTGTACTGGCCAGTGGCTGCTCCATTGGCTGCTGCTGCTGCTTCGTCTTTAGATGCGAAACGATTGCTGCCTTCAGGGATGTCTCTGGGGATATGTTGCTGGTGCTCTCAATCTCAATTGGCTGCTCTAGATCCATGTCCACGTACTCGATGGCGCTGTCATCCTCCGGATGCAGTTCAATGACTGCAAGTAGGAAAAACACAAACACAAAAAGATAAAGCAAATCTCTAGGATTTAGGGGAGAGAGCAACCCAAATGAAGGGCCTTCATTCGTTACACCCAACTCACTGCGATTGTTGAGCTCCAGCGTGTCGTGTTCGTGTTCCGTTTCCGTTTCCACTTCCACTGCCACCACATCATCATCCTCCACATCCACATCCTCGATAATGACATCATCATCGAGACTCTGCTTGGAAGAACCCGTTGTGTTCACCGTCTTGGTGGCCGCCTGATCCAGCTCCATCTCCCAGTCGGTGGCATTGAGCAGCACCAGTGGCCCCGATTTCACTTTCGTCTCCGTCGTCGTCGTCGTCGCTCCATTATCCGCCACAATGATGGGCATATTGATGATATCTATGGGCGTGTCCTCTGTAATCATTTGATTCGGTTTGGGTTTCGACGAGCTGCTGCCACCGCCACCGACACCGCCGCTGCTGCTGTTGCTGCCTGTGAGAAGATTCGGCGAGACTGAGGCTGCCGACGGCGAGACTACCGAGGCCGAGGTGGAGGCACCAATCACCAAAACATTCGGCTTGGGCTTGGTGCTCAGCGTCACGGCACGCATCCCGCTCGCCGCACTGGCCGGCAGGAATACGAGATTATTTTTACCCCCAGCACCAGTGGAAAATGTCAGAGTGGTGGGCTTTGTCGTGAGCTTGGCACTGCTCGCGGATGTTCCCGTGCCGCTGCTGACGGTTAGAGTGTTGGTGCTGCTGCTGGTCATCCCACTGGACATCACTTGCGTCGGCGCTGGCAGTATCTGCATCTTCTGTATGCTGATCCGCTGATGCGGTGAGCCCGGCGCATGCGGCATACCCCCCGTGGGTGAGAGCGACGCTGTGGCCACTGTAGTTGTAGTTCCGCTGCCACCCGTCACATTGTTCAGCTTGTGGATGATGCTGCCCGCGGGCAGCTTGCCCGGTTGCAGGAACACCTTGCCATTGGGCGAACAGATCTTGATGTTGCGCAGCGCGCTGCTGTGCACCTGTTTGATGTTCAGGGCACTGCCCGTCCCTGTGCCACTCGTCAGCTTAATGTTTCCCAGTATCTGTGGAGCGCCAGTGTTGGAGGAGCTGGCACCGCCCGTGCCCGCCGCCTTGAGCGTCACGCTGCCCGGCGGCAGCTGTTGAGGCTGAGATGTGGCCTTGCCCCTAAAGATGGGCGTGCCCGTGGCCGTCGGCGTTGCCAGTGGCGTGATCAGTGTGTTGTTCAAGCTGCTGGCTGGTATATTCTTGATAATATTCACCGTGGAGGCGCTGCTCAGGGGCGTCACTGTCCCCCGCGGCTGCTCCTTGAGATTGCTGGACATGGCCTGCGGCGTGGATGGCGTGGACACCGTCGTATCCGTCGTGTACGGCAGCAGCCGCACTGCCGAACTGGGCAAGTTCTTGGGCTTGGCCTCAAGCTGTGTGCCGTCCAGGAAATTGATCTTCTTCGGCGTCAGCTTGGTGCCGGGTGGGAGTATGGTGGTGGTGGTGCTGCTGCTGCCTCCCCCTGTGGGATTCACCAGTCCCAGAGCTGGTCGCAGCTTGGCGCCCATGGGCGGTGCCGGTATCTGCTGCACGCTAATGATTTGCGGCGCCAAAGGAAGATTGGCCGTCGAGATGGGCATGGGTATGGGTGTGGGCGTCAGGGGTAATGTGGACGCTGCTGCTGGCTCCTCCATAATGAACTTCTTGACGGGCGTGGAGAGCTGTCCGGAGCTGCTGTGGCTCTGCATTTGCACCTGAACGGGCATCACACTCGCCTGCAGTTTCTCTTTAAAGACAATTGGCGAGTTGGCAAAGCCCCGACTGGTCACCCCTGGCGTTGTGGGCGAACCCATCTCTGCTGCTGCTGCTGCTGTCGGGCCATAGACCACCCTCGTGGCTGGCAGCGGCTTCAGTTTGTTCAGGAAGCCCGTGGGTGGCGACACCGTCACCGTTTGCGTTGGCGTCTGCGTTGGTGCTGGCACTGGTATCGCTGTGCTGGCACTCACCGACTTGAGTGCCTCGTCCAGGATGTATTCCACATGCGGCTCCACCACCGAATGATTGGCTATCGGCACGGCCTCCGGTACGGGCAATAATACTTTTTGTTGCTGCTGCTGCTGCATCTTCTGTTGCTGCTGCTGCTGCAATTGCTTCTGTGCCCGTCTACCGCTCTTGGCCGGTGCTGCCACTCGCTTTACAGAGTCTGCGGCAGCTGCCGCTGCTGCCGCCCTGCCCGCCGCTATGGCACCAGGATAGGGCCCCAAAATGTTGGCCATATTCCGCTTGCTGGCCAGCCGCTGCTTGTGCTTCTGCTGCTGCTGGTAGAAGAAGCGCTGCTGCTGCGTCCTTGGACTGGGTCTCGGCTCCACTGGCACCATTTCACCATCCTCTGGGCCACTCTGTTGCAGGGGCAGCTGACCCAGCAGCTGCATATGTTGCTGCTGCTGGTTGTGCAGATGATCCAGCTTGTCGTGCTGCATCTGATGTTGCATGTGTCGCTTCTTGTTGGGCTTGGCATCGATGCCCTCGTTCTCCTTGCGCTTTTGTATGGCCTTTTTTACCTCGTTGGGGACATCGGGTACTTTGAACTGAGGGAGAGGGATAAAGGTTAAAGATTAGTCTTTGGATATAGAAAGGGTTTCCAAATCAAGAAAAATTTTATATTTTCTTAAAAATCATTCATAATGCAACTACGAGAATACCCCATACGAGTTTGTAACATTAATAGAGACATTTCTGGATCTCCAGGAGCATTTATAAACATCTAATTAATTTTTGTGTATCATAAAGAAAAGAAAATTCAGCAAGCTGTTCAATCTCCCGACAGAGCTGTCCAATAATTTCATTAATTATTCCAAATTATAATACCCAAAAACAATAAAGAAAACTAAAAAATCTCAACAATTCATTCAAAAAAATATTTAAATTAATGAAAATGTCAAAACCTGTTAAATTTCCAACATAACGGCTGACGGTTAACAGTGCCATGCACAGGAATAACCATTCACAGTGGCGGGCTAACATTTGGCTGTTAACAGCAGTTAAATGTTTAACAGCTGCTATCACATTAACATTAACTACAAACTTAATAACATTTCTAGCAATAAACAAATCACAAATAACAACAAATAAAAGAAAAAAGGTCTAAAAAGCAAGACGAACAATTTCTGCTTCTTCGTGGGGCGCTCCAAAATAATGAAAAAGCCAAAAACTCGAAAGCAAAACATTCCAATTGGACATGAAGATATCTCCACTTAAAACCCGACTACCCATCATGATGGAAAATCATGATAGAAACCAAGAGATAATTTCAATGGTTATGCTGCTAAAGGAGACGCCACACGTGACCTCAGCGCCCAGCAACCAAGACGCGGATTAAGCGACGACGACACATGCCAGCGGCCGCGGCCCAGGCAGACTGTACTTTCACTGCCCCCGCGCGCGCACACTAGCAGCAAGCAGAAGCAGAACCAAATCACATACAATATATCATCGGGCAGGCGCCGCCATCGGTGGCTAGGGGGATTATATAATGCTCTCGCTCTCACCGGCTCATCCATGATCACTAGCGTCGACTCCTGGACCCTGTTCCGGCCATGCTTGAGGGCCATCAGGTTGGCCTGATCGATGAGCGCATCGGCATAGTGGGCACCCGTTTCGGCTGGCGGCAACAGTTTCGCATTCTCCAGGCACGCCTTCGCCGCCAGATCGTTGGCCACAATGCTTAGCGCCGTTTGGGGACTGATGCGCGGCAGCAGCGGATACGGACGACGACCTTCGCGGGACCATTCCTGCCAAGTGTTCGGACCGCAGACACTGCGAGATACACACACGCACACGGTAGTGACACGAAACGAAACGAAACGAGGTTGAGATTGATATTAATTTAGCACTGGGGTTTGTTCCGCCACTCAACTTACTTTTCGGCTATGGTGCAGAGTTGTTCATCGTTGACAGCGCGCCGCACCTCCGCTCGATGACGCTCCGGGGTTATGTGAAACAGTTGGCGTAGTTCCTCCAGCATTTTGCCCTTTGGTTCGCTCAGCGAGCCTTGCGCGCGAAAAACGCTTATTATATGCGAATAGGATTCAAGCTCTAAGCGAATAAAAGGCAAGATAACACATTAGAGTAGATGCACTGGACCTCTGGCTAGATATCTGGCCGTATTTGGGCATGCTGCGAGCGTCGCTTGCTCCTGGATGTGGCGATTCGCCCTCTGCTGCTGCCTTCCACACTTACCAAGTCGACGCAGCATGCCTCGGCATTCGTCCCGCGACATTTCCAACGTTTGTGGCCACATTGTGCAAGTTGTTTTGCACACCGTATGCTTAATGCACTCCAAGCCGTTGGATATCAGTGTGAATCCGTGGGTTTTCTCAAAGGGTTTTCGCGAATCTTGTTGCAAAAATTAAAACAAACTCTTCAGGCAGCGTTTCTAACTGTGTGACCGCGGAGTTGTCCATTAAATATGCGGTCTGACCCTCACAAATATACCGAAATCTACGTTCACACTTTTAAAAAATACAGTAAATATACCGACTCGTAAATCATATTTCTCCATTTTGATATTCTATTTAACATTATAAGGAAGCTAGAACTCTCTACACTGAGACTATAATTTTATCCTATTGATGAAAGAATTTTCCACAACATTGGCTAGAAATCATGACATTTATTGGATTATTGAATAAGTAAGTAAGGGTCGAACTAAAAAGGTCTACCATAAAACGTTACGTGAGTAGGCAAGGAATGTTACGTAGTTTGACAACTTGTTGCCTGTCAACCGGAAGTATGTTATGTTATGTTCCTTTGTATACCCTGTTTTCATTAACATATATTAAAGCTATTTTTTCCAAGCTTTTCATATGTTTTATATCGATCTAAATACATTTTCGTATTCCATTATCTGAAAATTTCGTTGAGATGGATCTCCAGCACAGATTGACTTGATTTTGCATTGATTGGAGACTGAGGTTTCTATCATATCCTCAATTCGTGCATATCCTTCGCTCTTAGGGTACTAGAATGTTGCTCATTCTGTGTCCATTTGAATAGTTTCGAAACCCTATATTCTTGAATATACCTACAAAATTTAGTTTAACAGTCGGAATTACCGATACAACGTAAATATATATTGAACTCGCTTTCTTAGTTCAAATATCCTGAAAAGTATATACATTTCTTTAACGGTCACCGTGGTAACCCCTTTCAACAGTATATTTTATACTTTTCAGTCTATTTTGACGTCGATATTAAGTCGTCGGTATATTAACGGTATATATACCGATGGCACTAACGCTTGCCTAAAACAGCAGTATATTTGACCCATAATATTTGCGATTTTAAAATTAATTTTCCAATGAAAACTCAATTGTTTTCCAATGAAAACTCAATCGACAAGCCATAACGATGTTGTTCCGCTCAGCCAAAAACAAATTCGAGACGGTGGATGTGATTCGACGGCTGAAACGTCTGGCCGAAGGCACCATCTCCTCGTACCGCCGTTTGTTTTTGCTGCTCCTCTGCGTGTGCACAGTTTTCTATATGCTGCCGCCGGTCTTTCGTTATATATTTCTAAGTGCACCGGAGCAAAAGGGTAACCAATAGCCGTCTCATCTGTTGGCTATATAATGGCTAATCGCATTATGTCTTTCAGATCCCCATAGCATGTGCATGGATGACCGTTTGACACCGTACATACTGCAGAACTATGAATTCGATGCCAACATTCGTCACGTGTCGCCCGCGACGCTGCCGGGCGAGCGTGATATCACGCCCTACATTGGCAACGGCTACATCGGACTGGAGATAGCCCACGATGCGTCGCTGAACATTAAGCACGGGCGGGCCATGCAGCTGCCCATCCGTTTTCAGCCGATTGTCTCCGTGGCACAGCAGGGTGTGGGCGTCGAGAAGGAGGCCACCGTTGTGGAGTATCTGACGGGCATGGTGCATCGGTTTCAGTGCTTCGCGGGTTACTTTGCATCCTACACCTACTACGCACATCGCACTCAGCCGAATGTCCTCATGCAGGAGCTGCAGATCACCAACACCCGCAACATGATTGAGGACGTGGAGCTGATAATGCCACGCGTTAACCTGCCCAGGCTCTCGCAGCGCACCCTGAAGCTGAGTGAGCCAGCTTCCGCGGGCATGGTGTCCTACAACGAGCTGGATGTGCTGACGGGCATTGTGCAGCCGGTGCCAGAGGATCCCAGTAAATTGATTGTCGTCAGCATTGTGAAGCCACAGCTGGATGCCAAGCTGCAGGTCCGCAAGCGGGGCACCGTCCGCATTGTGTATCCCATAGCTATACACTACTCGAAGCCAGTAACCGAGGCGCAGCTCAAGGCAACCATTGAGGCCAACGAGCAGCAGGCCACGCAGGCCATGATAAAACTGCTGCAGAAATTGGGCTCCAAGGCATCCAGTACGGGTGCGGCGTACAGCATAAATACCTATCGGCAGGAGCACATTGATGTGTGGGCGGATCTGTGGGCCACGGGCTTCACGATAAGCACATCCAAGGCGGAGCATAGCTTGAACGGTGATCGCATCAATGCCACCATGTATGCGGTGCTCTCGCAGGTGCGTTGCTTCGAGTTCGAGGAAATGGGCACTGCCGTTTCCACGGCCAAAAAGGAAGACATAGCCAAGGCCCTGACCTATGCCGAGGGCTGCTATGATTCCTATCACACGCTGCAGGCGGAGAACCTGTGGCGCGAGATGGCCACGCTGCAGCAGCTCAACTCTTTGGTGTCTTCCTGGATGCTGACACTGGAGAAGCAGGGCTGCCACAATCTTATACGGGCGGGTGCTTCGGGTGTCATACAGGCTATGGTCTTGAGTTTTGGCAGCTTTCGCTTCAGCAATCAGCACTTGGAGTGCAATATCCATCCGAAATTCCTGCACAGAGACTTCCACTTTCGACGCCTCAACTATGGCAACAAGACGCACGTGAATGTCACCATCATTGTCAAGGAGGACAATAAGGCGATCATCAATGTGGCCCTGGATCGATCCGATCGTAGTTACTATGCCTGCGATGGCGGCTGTCTGGATGAGCCAGTGCTGCTCACGTAAATATGTTTCAACTTTGAGTCCTGCAACTATTTCTAAGTTCTTTCTGTGTTGCAGTCAAAGCCGTCGACACTTCCCAGTTAAACTGACTGAACCTCTAACAGCAATACTATACATAACCGAGGACAAACAGCACATGGAGGAGCTGCATCATGCCATTCATGTCAAAGAAGTGGTTGAGGGTAAGCTCCCCCCATCTGTGGCATGGGAAAACCTCTGGTTAATTTCTGTGTTCCCCTTTATAGCTCCTGCCCATGAGCAACATTTGATTGCTTTGCACAAGCACGGCCATCAATTGGGTGGACTGCCCACGCTCTTTTGGGTATCGGTGTGTGCAATAATTATAGTATTTCATATATTCCTGTGTAAGCTTATAATCAAGGAGTACTGCGAACCAAGCGATAAGTTAAGGTATCGTTATAACAAACCGTGATCCTAGTTGTACATATGTAATATATTTTTTGGGACAGTGTGTGGCATATGCTATAGTCAAAATATAAATAACAAATCGAAAAAGCAACAAAATATCGCACAAGAGAGGAGAAGAGAGAGCCTGAGTTTAAATCAAATTGAATTGGGATTCAATTCCTGTAAATTCCCGTTTTAAGTACAGAAACAAATGTTCTTTATATTCATTAACATTTAAAATGCTTTACTTTACCAAAAGGCAGATCTTTTAGCTTATTTACAAAGAGTTATCTAGAGAGAGAGATAGAGAAGTGCCTGTGATTGTGTGTGAGAAAATGCAATTAGTTTGACTAAAGATTTCACGATTTAAATTTCGTTGCTTGTGGTGCCGTGCACAGGTGCCGATAAGTAGCTTAGCTCTACTGAAAAACTGCACTCCACTCCACTGTCTATGGTCCACCTTCTACTTGGTCACTTTGTGTATGCTCTCGGCCAGATAGTCAACATTCTTGCTGGATACACCCGCCATGGAAATGCGACCATCCTGTGTCATGTAGATGCTGTAGTCCTTGGCCAGCTTTGTGACCTGCTCGGGCTTCAGTCCCGTATAGCAGAACATGCCAATCTGGTTGACAATGTGCTCCCAGCTGCGGCTGGAGCCCAGCTTCTTGAGGTTCTCCCTCAGCGTGCAGCGTGCATCGATGATGCGATCGGCCATCTGCTTGACATCCACCAGCCACTGTTGGCGCAGATCATCGCTGTTCAGAATCTCAGCCGCAATGCGAGCACCGTGGATGGGCGGGCTCGAGTACAAGCCACGAATGATGATCTTCACCTGTGACATCACACGTGCAGCCTCCTCCTCATCGGTGCAGATCACGGAGAAAGCGCCAGCACGCTCGCCATACAGACCCATGTTCTTGGCAAAGCTCTGCGCCAGGCAGAAGTCATGGCCATCGGCCTCAAAGATGCGCACAGCCTGAGCATCACGATCCACATCGCCGGAGGCAAAGCCCTGATAGGCAAAGTCAATGAAGGGATATAGCTTGCGGTCCTTCACCACCTTGGAGATCTCACGCCACTGCTCCACAGTGGGATCCACGCCAGTGGGATTGTGGGCGCAGGCATGCAGCAGCACAATAGCTCCCTCGGGGATTTTCTTCAGATCCTCAATCATGCCAGCAAAGTCCAGATCGCAGCTGGCGGGATTGTAGTAGCGATAACGCTTCACGGACAGACCGCTGTGCTCGAAAATTGGCACATGATTGCCCCAAGTGGGATTGGGCATGTACACATCGCGGCAGCCAGTCCAGAAACGGCTCAAGAAGGCAGCACCCACGCGGAGAGCGCCCGTGCCACTGATTGTCTGGGTGGTGACATTGTGCTTGGCCTGCAGCCGCTTCGAATCCTTGCCCAAGGCCAGCTCGATGGCTTTGTTGTAGAACTCGGGGAAGCCAATAATGGGCGCATACTCCTTGTCCAAGCCGCGATTGACCACACGCTTTTCGGCCTACAAAATTAGATGGAAATTGTATCACTGATTGAGTGTTTTGTTTGCTCTCGAAACTCACCTCCCGCACGCTGGGCAGCACGAAGGGTTTGGTGTTATCATCGCGATAAGCACCAACGCCCACATTCATCTTCTTGGGGTTCTGGTCCCGCTTGAAGGCCTCTGTCACGCCCAAAATGGCATCGGGTGGACCCATTTTCACCTCCGTGAACCATGATGACCTGCAAGAGAGTTGAAAAGTGTAGAGATTAGTTTTGGTTTTGCTTTAAGACATTCCTTTCAATTGTATTCTATCCACCTGGTTAAAGGCTAATGTGTTGCCACTAATGTTGTTATCTTTCCAAAAGTTAATTGAAGAGATTAGCGTGCTCTGTTTAGTGGGTTATCTACCACTTGATTTTATCATTTGGGTTTCATGACTAAAGTTTGAAAGTCATCTAGAGGTTTTCTTGGATTTTGCACCCGCTCTTCGCACATCTCATGGGGGGCTGGGGCTAATAGCCTTCTCTTATCACCCTGGCGCCGTTGTAAACAAGTTTCAACGTTTTACATGTACCCCACATACAGGAGGGTAGAACACATGCCTAGATCTCACGGTGCCTACGTCAGTGATAAGCTGAGGTCTCTGCTGACGTATTCGCTTTTGTCACATTTTATGCAGAATTCGAGGAAATTCTCAAAGTTAATTAAAATTAACTTTCAATTAAGGAAGCCGTCTGCCTATCACCGCCCTCGATTGTGTTGATAAATCCACTAAAGCTTCCGGTTGCAGTTCGATAAAACAAACTTTTCTCGTAACACCCCTGGAGGTAGGGGCCGGTGCGGTACTATAAAAATCAAAGCACGCGACCAAAGCGTGATATGTCAACCGAAGACTACCCTACGAAGCTTGTGTGTGGCATATCTGTGGCCATGACAGACTTGCCTTACCCCACTTTACAGTCGCTGGAGCACAGGCGTCTTAATAGCAGGAATGAATTTAGCATTTTGTCTTACAAATAATTTTTAACGTAAAATAAGGAACTTAAGTGTGACGTAAAAAACTTAAGGTGGAATTTATATAAAAACCAAACTTGATGGTTAGGAAATTTATAAAAGTTAAAGCAAAATAAAAGCCATTAAAATTCAACAAATATTTTTGTTTTAAATATTTACAAAATTTAAAGGCTATACAAACTCCAAACAAAATGATGCCTGCCAATATTTAATCATCAAAACACTTTCTGAATACATCAAATATTATTTAGGGCATCTCCAAGTCGTTGGGTCGCACTCACCCTATTCCATTATTTGTTGCTTTTGGAATGTTCTTTAAAGCGCGAGAAAAAATAGAAATACAAAAGAAAAAGCACCCATAAAATTAGCTTTGAAAATAAATACACATCCGTTGTTTGTGATAAATTCTCACATGAAAAAAAAACTTTATATTCTAGACACCTATATTATATGGAGAAAGCTCTCGAGCACAGTAGACACTTTTCGGGAATCTCTAGAGAGCTTCCACTGTACCATCTACGTCTGTAGATTCACAAACATATGCAAATATTAGCAAGAAATTGCCACAGCTTGATAAGAACAGCTGAGCAGTCTGACAAAAATCCCCAAAAAATGATGAAATCTAAGCCCCACCATACTCTCGTATTCGCAGACCTCATTCCAGTTTCTCCCTCATGGCTGACATAATGAAATCAGCCTTAAGCAGACAAAAAGCACTGACAATTCGCATTTCCACACAAATTGCAGCAGTAATTGAGCACAACAAACACATCACTGGAGACCGACTGACCGGCAACTGCAATGACCTTGGCAGATGACACTGCGCCGCTGCAATCTGCAACGTGTTTGTTCTCTCTTCCTCTCTCTCTCTTGCCATTACTTACTTGCAGCGCAAGGCTGCGGCAGCCGAGGGTGCCACACGATTGCTCAACAGCAAACTGTGCTTGCAGATCAGCGACATGTTTGCTTTTAAATGCACAAACTTAATGTACTATTTACTCGTAATAATTAGGAGCGGTAAATGCCGGCAAACGGTAGAACAACCGATGAACTTCAGGTGAACACTAAACTAGTCGAGCAAACTAAGTGAAATGTGACCGCATGGGGGAACGGCAAAATACGACAAAAGACCTCGAAAAGCTTGAATCCAGAAAAGCTTGCGGAATAACAAACAGAATAAATATATATTCGCGACAAAAAGTGGTTTGTTTGTCCATCTGGCAGCTTCGCGAAAAGCTTTTAAACTGTGTTTAAAATGTCTGTTGGTGTTTTGATATAAACAACTTTATAAAAGAAGGAGGGCGGAACCTACGGCCAGGTCAGGCCTGGACCCTATTGTTGAAAAACAGTTCCAAAATAGAAATTCTCTTTTTGCTTCGGGCTCTAAAATGTACTCTATTAAATCCAATTTGAATTCTTTTTATTTGTAATTCATGTCATATTTGTATAAACTTTAGAAAAAATAAGAACTTTAACAATACCCGTGACTATTTAGAGAGACTCTCCCACAATCTTCCCATCTATCGCCACCAGTCGCCACGGCGGTGAAAGCTTTCTTCGAACAGCTGTTTGCACATTCTTGGAGCTTTGTGTGTGCTGTTTTCTTTATTTATTCTTTCGCTTTTGGTTTCTTGTAAGATTTGTCGAGCTTCACGATTTCAGTAGATTCGTAGCCGCCGCGGGGTTGAAAAAGCGAAAAATAAAAAGCAAGAGGAGAAAAAGTCTTCCGCTCGATAAACGTGGATTTACCTTGTAATTGAATTAAGCAAAAACGAGAAGTGGAAAAATGCTGAGATTTGCTGTAATTGCCTGTCTGCTGGTGACTGTGGGCCTCGTCCAGGGCCTGGAGTTCAGCGATTGCGGATCGAAGACGGGCAAGTTCACCCGTGTGGTCATCGAGGGCTGTGACACCACCAAATCGGAATGCATCCTGAAGCGCAACACCACAGTGTCCTTCTCGATAGACATTAACCTGGCGGAGGAGGCCACCGCCGTCAAGACTGTCGTCCATGGCAAGGTGCTGGGCATCGAAATGCCCTTCCCGCTGGCCAATCCCAATGCCTGTGTGAACAGCGGCCTGAAGTGTCCACTGGAGAAGGGAGAATCGTATCGCTATACGGCCACGCTGCCAGTGCTCAAGACCTATCCGAAGGTCTCTGTGCTGGTCAAGTGGGAGCTGCAGGATCAGAACAGCGAAGACATTATCTGCGTGGAGATACCCGCCAAGATCCAGTAGGCGTTGATCTCGGGATCGTCGCTCTGTCTGTCTCTCGCTTCCACGAGCATTATTGGATCACGAAGAGCGAGCGGAAGCCGCCCCAAGTTCAGCCTGTAGTCTCTCTCCCTCTTGCTTATTGTAATCTAATTTAAAATAAAGAAAAATACAACAACAACAACAAATTAAGTAACTGTTGTGTGTGTGTTGTGTGGTGTGGGGGGGCACAGCCCATGTGCCTGTTTCTATATATAACTGCTTGTGTCAGTGTGTGAGAATATTCTCGGGTTAGGCCTTTTATTATTATTTCCTTTGTTTGCTTCTGATTGCATCTTCCGCTTTCTGCTGCCTCCGGTCAGCCATCAGTCAACAGTCATCGGAACATCACACGAGTGGGACAGATGAATGTTACTTTAACAGTGCAATGAAATGTTAACTGGCCGGTGGGCAGGTGCTATGCTGATCAGCTTTTGCAACGGTGATGATTGTCCACCCGCGAGAGAGGGTAGCCAAAAGCTTGCTGAACAGAGGGGCTTTGGTTGCTTTTCGAAACTTACTATACATATATGTTTTTATAGTTTCATTAGTTTGTAAATTTGTGTGTGTTTGTGTGCAAAAAAGTTTCTTAAAGTAAGAAGAGAGTTTAGTCCCCTTACTAATTTTTAAATGACTGTATACTTTGATGAGAAACAGACAACTTTTAATGGGCAACAGATGGTTCATAATAGTGTCATAATTTAAGTGCTACTGATCATCAGTGTTTTTACAGTAAATTTCTTCACTATTAAAACCATTTTGGATACTTTGATGAAGAACAGACAACTGCATCTAAAAGAACAGAGTGAAAGACTAGAAATGAGACTAGGGAAATTATTAAGTGGCCTTTGTACACGTATCGCTGTCTGATTACGAATCACTTTCATTGTTTACACACTTCTCAGTCCTCCGTGTGTCGCAGATAATGAGTAACAGTTTGTTACTGTTTGTGAGTGTATGTGGCCGACTCGGAACACAATTCTCATCAGTGGTTTGGCTTTCGTATTCTCTTCTAGGCACAAAGAATGGAATGGGTGGCCGATAAGACGCAAAAAGAAAACAACTGCAAAATCATAGGAGGTGGAGATAGTGAAAAGGGGGCTGAGGGAACCTGCAGAGGGTCTTTGGGGTAGCAGCTGAAACCAAGGAAAAACACAAATCAACTGCAGCACCCACAAGCAGAAGCAGAGCAGTAGCAACAGCAGCAACAGCAGCAGCAGCAGCGCTTTCCATTTCGTTTTCTCAATTTCCATTCCTTTTTCCGCCAAAACACACCCACACACCCACCCACACACCCACACACAATCGTGCATATACCATATGGCAAAATGCAAATAATGCAAAGGCTGAGAGAGCGTATGAGGTATGGGAATAAGGGCGGGGTTATGGGTGGACGCACTGGGAGGGAGACTCTTGGCGCAGATAGAATTATCCGCAGTGCGCCAGGCGATGGCGAAGGCGGAGGAGGAGGATATTTAAGCAAAAGAAATCGGTTTATTACATTCACTTTACCCCACGAATTGCATGAAATGCATTTCAGATTCTGATTCTGAATCTGATTCTGACTACCATTCCCCATTCCCATTTCCATTCCCCTTTCACGAGTTATTCAGTTATTCAGTTGTTGCCCTACCAGATACATTCTGAACAGCTTAAGGTTGACTTGAATGCTTTATTTGGGTTTGGGATTGATTTAGATTTGAACCATGATCGGTGAGAGTTGCAAGGTATTTGGGTGTGTAAGTAGATAAAGAGCAGAGTAGAATATAATAAGCACTAATAAAAGAATAAGGAATGGAAGAACATAAGCATATGGCAGGAAAACAAGATACAAAGAGTAATATACCTAAGTACTACATACATATGTATAGTATAAGAGGATTAAAAGGTAAAACTGTATAGTAAACAGAATAAATACACGAGGGAGTGTACATTGGAAACATCAAATGGAAACTTATTTGTGTGGTTTGAAGACAAGAAAATGTACAAATTAATGTAAGTAGCTATGAAAAATGTATGGACATTTTAGTGATTCATTAGAGAGGGAAATATCTTTGTCTCCTGTTTGATATAAAAAGAACATTTAGAAGGGAAAGAGTGTGCTCTCGTACAAGAATTTGCTCTTTGCTGCTAACACAGTACTAGAGTTTCCTTTGTAACACTTTTAGTTTTATGTTTACTTCCGGTTAGAGCCTTCACAAGTCCACTTGCTTGTATGTTGTCTTCTATGCCAGTACCCCTGATGTTTTCACTTGATTTACATATGAATCCGCATAAAGCACACGACAGTCCGAAACTCCAAAGAAATGTGGGACAAGCCCCCAATCTGCCCCTCGAGGCACCATTCCCACAGCTCCTTCGCACACCAACTCCCACTCTCTGTAGACACAGCTGACGTTTAAAAACTTGACACAACGCAGCGGGGAAGGAATACAGCAAAATATGAGGCGGTGGAGCTACCGAAGTAGAAAGTGGAGGAAATATACAGGCAAAAAAATAAAAATAAAATGGAAAGAAAAAGTATATGTAGGCGGATACTCGTGCCGCTGCTGCTGCTACTGCTTCTGATGGTGGCACTGCCTCCATCGCTTTGGCTGCATATCATATGAGGAGTCAGCTCCGTGCATCAGCGCAGCCACCGCCACCCCAAAACCTACCCAAACACAGCCCACAACTCGCTTTACTGTCACACCCCCTTGTAAGCTGCTGTGTCTGCACAGAATTTCTTGCATAAATAGCAGCATGCCAGAGAGATCTCGCTTTGAAGATGAAAATAACCAAGTAAAAATTCTGCATACAGAACAACAGTCAACACTCGGACTTTAAGATACCCAATAACAGAAGAGAAACAGACAATTTTTGTTTTTGCTCGAGAAAAACCTCGCTTACGGTAAAAGCTTAAGACTCATATGAAAGAGCGAGCGAGCTGAGAGCGGCTTTTGAGCGAGAGAAAGGAAAAAGAGAGCCCGAAAAAGCTCGTTCGCTCTCTCTTCGAGCGCTCTCTTTAGAAGAGCCTGGAGACGCTTTTGGAAGCCACGCTGATCATTAGTAAATGAAAACAGAAACAAACCTTCTATATTGTGCGTACTTGTGCTTAATTTCAACATACCATTTATACACCACAAGTGCCGGGTATCACCATATCGTGTGTCCATTTCTGCATTTAAGAGTTAAATGCAACATTCAAGTCCAGCCCAAGCCCAAGCCACTGTTGACCCACACTCCACCTCGCACAGAGAAAAACACCCGCCCACAACTTCTGGCCAGGAATCGGATGTTAATGTTATATGAACTATTTTCGTTTCCATGCGGTTTGCCAACGTAAATAAATTCGAGCTTCAGCGCCGCCTGGCCATCTCGCTTTTTGGCCTTTTACCACAGAGCGAGTTTTCTTGTTTTTAAATTGCCATTAATTGCCAGCTTTTCCACTTTAAGGCCTGGACCTCTCAGGGCTATCCAAGGAAGGCGGCGGTTGCTCTGTCGCTGACAGCCTGCTTAACTTTGGTCCGTTGGGTTTTCCCTGGTTTATTTCCATTTTTTTGTTTTTTAATAATTTGTTCCCATCTATATGACAACTTTTTGTTTTGTTTTCAAAGTGCTTTTAGTGGTCCAAACTTTAGACTTTCTTTTTTTTTTTTGTTATTTTTGGAGATATGTTTTGGGCTTGTGTGGGACAGAATTTGGTTGATTAATTGTTTAAGTTAGAAATTTGTTTGTGGCACATGCCGTTAGAGGTTTTTTATTTTCATAATTACAACAGTAAAGTTTAGACTATTTTTTGCTGAATGTTCATTGATGTTTTGGATGGGGACAAGAGTTTGTAGTGCTTAATGATTGAAGGTCTTACGATGTATTTGTGATTATATTTTTTCAATTAACCCTAACATCATTTAATATTCACAGAAAAAAATGTTTACAGCACATCTTTATATATTTTTTAAATTTAAATCTCTGGGATTAACAATTTCCCATTTGTTCACGAATTATTTATAGATACAGACTCTTAAGTACAGCTGATCAAAATTACATTCCTCTACATATAGTTGAATGGTTTTTTCGGCAGCATGACAGTTTTTGCTGCAACAGAGTAGGTTTTCCTTTTTTAATGGTTTTTGTATGGTTTTGCAGTGTTCTGCTGCGGTTTGGAATTTTAAATAAATCCCATTCACTGTCAGTTTTGGCTTGCAGTTATCTTAATTATTTGCATGTGACCGGGACGGGGGCAGTCGTTGTTAACAACATGGAAATTCATTGAAAGCCATAACTGTAAGCGAATTTTTCATAGGGCCAAAAAGTGTCATGCCCCTCTCACTAGCCCCAAACCTTCAGCTGTCAATTCTTGAACAGTTTTTTTGTTATTTGTCAGCCGGAACAGAACAGAAATGGCTGTGGGCAAAAAGAGCAGAAAACAGGAACAATCTGCAGTGCTGATGCTGACAGTTATGATATGGCAGGGCAGCGGAGGAGTGCAACAAAAAAAAAGTTGAAATTGCATTTCATAGCAATTAATCAAATGGCGAAACAGATAGCTTAATTCGTTTACATTTTGTTTGCTTCCTGAAGTGGATACAGCAGCCACTGGCCGGATACACGATGTGTCCTCTGGTCGACTGTCAGCATCATTAGCATCCTGATTACCTCTACATTTTTAATGCGCTTTCATTTGTTTGCCCACATGTGAAAATTATCTGCCAGTGTCCCTCACTCGGTTGCCTTTCGCTTTGCCATAATGTGCGTGATTAAAAACAAATTAATTTTAAATTAATGCTCCTGCAATGAACCAAAAAAAGAAAATTATAAAAACATGGAAATGGCAAGACAAACATTCCGTATTTTTATTGATATACATTTTATGTGTTTCTGTTATTTGTCAATTAAGTGTAATTCCCTTCAGCTTTTCAGAGGTTTCCAATTGAAGAAGTTCATGGAGTATTGATGGAAGGGAAGCTCTACAGATTCGGGCTACGATGCTGCTGGAGTAATTGAAAATTCATTTAGGCTGCTTAGGCAACACAAAACGAGGTTTTTTGAAAAGTTTATTTTGAAAAATCTTTTGTTCTTTATTTCTATATGGGTTTCCAACAAATGTCTCATCAAAACTTATCAATAATATTTTTAAAAATTAATATTACACTTAATAGTCCT